CGAACTTTCACACGATTTCGAAATTGTACTTTATTATAGAGTACTTTATAGTGTCCATGCTCAAGTGCTATGCGATAATATTATTATAAGGTTGTGGAAAACCGCAAAATAACCATTTAGAAGATAATTGTTATAAAACAATTATTAAATAAATAATTCATTTTTATAATTATTAAATAATCATTTGAAGTCATGTTTCATTGACTGTCCTTGCAATCATTATCAAAAAATAGTAAATTGGTATAAAACGAATAGGTTCGTAAACATACTCTCGGTCGTAATCATCGAGGGATTTGTGTGTCATTTCGTTATTAACATGTAAATTAATTTTACAAACATTATCATAATATTACTTATAATTGTTGTTTTTTTGAAAACCCATTGATTTTTATAAGTCCATCGTTATTTTTATGGATCTAAACTGGGATGGCATCGAAGTAGAAATCACTGGTATTTATAGTTGATCAATTATTGTTACTACCTGAGTGTCACAAATACTTCACGCGTACATATTATATATATATATATTAAGTACGTATCATCATCAAATAGACTATATCCTCCGATAAGTTTTAGCCTCGGATTACTAATCCAATATCTTGCCCCTGCCATCGTCATGTTGACTGGGTTTTGTTATTAATTAGCGGTAACAGCCTGCGGGACCGTATTTTACTTACTCACATACACACGTATATGTATAACGTATATCCTATTTCGTCCAGTCCGATGGCCAGCACTCGACGTTGAAATATGATCCGCAGGGCCGGACCCTACACGGAATGATGCACACGCCAGGATAACGTCATTATCCTGCGTCGCGCACGTACATTGTATTATTATTATTATTATTATTATATACGTATACGAGATAGCGTACAGTGTAGGTATGTGTTGCCGTATGTGTACACCTCACTCGTATGCAAGTTACGTCTGTCAGTAAAATATATCGTGGCGTTCCCTTGCACCGGTCACCGTTGCACTATGATACACATAAATTAATTTTATATATATATAATACGTATACAGATCTCGGTGGATTTCGAAGCTGTTAAATTAAATCGTGTGCGCCGGACCGCGTTGCAGCTCCCTGAACGTGCACCGATTCCGATGTGAAAGTTGCTTTTAAAAAATATGTCATTTGATGTACGCTCAGTCAGCAATATATATATATAGTATACAATTAATTTGAACGCCCACAGCACGACTTTGAATAATATATTTTAATCGTCCATAGATAACTGTCTAAATTATGTTGAAAGTAAATTGTTCGTGAACGATAAAAGTACAATAGTTAATCTGTTGTGTATACACCACACGCCTTAATATATAGTTTCGTTTTAGGAAAATAGAAAATACGATACATACCGACATAAGTTTTTGTTTGGTCGTTTAACGCAGTTGAGATCCAATAATATTTAAAATTGTGATTAAAAAAGATTTTTGATAATTCTACATCATAAATACTATATACGAATTAATCCTACTAATTCTAATTTTGGAAATATATTTCAAAATTATAACAAAAAGTACAGCGAAAAGAAGTGAAAAAAACAACTGACTAAATAAATGATAAACGAATAATTGAATGACTACATTGGTTTCAAAAACCAATATCACAGCTTAGACTTGGAAAAAAAGTCTTAATTTTCATAACGGTTGACGTGAAAACATTTCTAATCTTACAATTATTGAACGCACAGAACACTCGAATCACTTAAAAAAGCGATCGATATTATTTGGCTATTGTAATGTGACTAATCGATATTCGTTAAGAATAGTGAATGTCCGCCACTAGAGTTATCTAGTAGAACTCCTACGACATAGCTAGCTAGACTTCACTCTAATGTCCTAATCTCCTGATAAATATTTATAGCCCTGTTGCGGTACTCCAAGGGCTTGTCAGTTTCGTAGGATGTATAATCATCAATTGAGCAACACAATGGTGTTTATTGCTTAGATATAAAATATTAAACGTGTACACCTGTTTGTTGGACCACAGGAACAGATTCAATGGAACAATATTGATTTTAATGATAGGCGGATACGACACACACGACTTGATATTGTTCGAATTGAGGATACTCGCGTTAAGATGGTAATTTATCAACTGTTTTTCTACGTTTTATAATTGACTGTCGACGTCGTGAGCTGTATCGTTCCCCTCCCCTTTCTCCTGGTCGTACAATAATATATTCGACGTACGAGCCGATTCGACTACAAAACGGAGAAGTGTTTGCTCGCGTAAAAAAGCGGTAACACTATCATCTGTTAAGTAGACGAACGCAATCGATGGGGTTTCATCTGAACTGTTGGACGTTGCCACTTTACGAATTCGTCATGATACGTAAATCGCTGCAAACGTCAGTCGGAAAAACGGAGCCAAAACTACGGTGGTAGAAAAACTGGTCGACGGCTAGGCGAACGGGTATGCCACAAACTTTCTCAACCCTCGGCGAGGTCATGTCTTGTGCTCGAGACGGTCATTTACCCTGTTGTTCGCGCGACGGGTGCCACGCCGATCGTTTGTAACCGCATCGGACCTCCGAGAGCAACACCTCACTTACCGTACACCGTTCGAAGTCCCTCGAAATCGTATAGATTAGCACGGCTTTTGCCGTACGATCGACCTGTTGCACCTAGTGGATTTCGTTTTCTTCTTGCCGATGACCGTAACATCGCTTTATCGAATAATTATTGCGAGTAAAAACGCGTCCCCTTCGCAAACCTATTTCGATCCCCGTGTTCGGACACGGCAGTGGTTTCCCTTTTTCGCCGTCCAACATTGATCACGATACCTGTGGCGCACGATTCACACCGTTGCGCGTACAGTATTTATACGCGCGAGGTCGTCGCGGGGGCGTTTGATATTCGAAAACATTATTGCAAAAGCAGCCTCGACCATGCATATACGATGATGACCTACCTCGGGTGTGGCGCGTTACGAATTCATAATACGTTGCGCGCGCACAGATAGTGACCGTAAAACGTTCAGCAGCCCTAAGCTCGCGAACAGCACCACGTGCAACGGTTAAATTGCTCGCGCATTAATAACCCTCCCGAACGGTCGAAATGTGTCCGTCGCGCGTAAAAGCCACCACCACTACGAAGCACATATCATGGAACGCGTACGGGACATGTACGCCGAAACAATATAACGTTTCGGTCGTTAATGCTATCGGAGAGCTAATAAATACATGTATATTACACGCGTGCAAGAGCGCGCACGTAACGTGTACAATGTAACACGGACGCATTATTGTTTTAACGACCGAGACGGAACCTATGCCCACAGTGAGTCGATAACGTTTTAAAAATTGAAATGCAAACACGGTGCCGCCCCCGGTTGCATATGAAAAACGTCGTAAACCGCTGAAACACGAGTTTCCGAAAATCACACTGCGACCCCCCCGCACGGTACGTGCACAGCGCATGTGCGTAACAATAACTATACGGTTTTAATCCATACAAAACATAAAAACTGCATCAAGCTGAATGCACTGCAGTTATCCGAGGAAAAAGCTAATCGGTGTAAAATAAAATCATAGGGATGTGAACTTTTTATGGTCGTCACGTTGAAAATCAACATTAACTCCTTTACGTTCTTTTTTCCGTTCGGGTAACGTATCATCAAAGACGGTATCGAAAAATACTTCGGACGGTTCCATCGAGTTTTCTTAATCAGTATTATTTATTGGGCTTCAACAATTTACGGCAAAAGTATTGACTTTAAAATAGACTTTTCTTTTTTAAAGTAAAAAGTAAACCTCAGTTAACTTGGAAATGTGCCTTTGGGTAGAATCGTTCTCTTAGGAAGCTATGTTTTACCGAAATTTCATTGGTACAATTAGTATATCGAATATCAGTTAATTTCACGTGAAACAACAATCATTTTCGACGTGTACAGTTCACGAAATATTAAATTAATTTTCCTATTCACGAGATATAAATACAATAAATATTATTGTTGGTCGATGATATATTATATACCGGATATGGCGAATTTATGGTTACGTTGACCAAATTTCAATGATACGCGAAAAAAATTGAAATTATTAAAAAATTATGCTACTCGTACAATTTTAGTTATAAGCAATTCAGAGAAACTAATTACATACATTTTAAAAATGATAATATTCTTTACACTATTATATTTTTTGTCAACTTATGCTTGTGAAAGCTTATTCCCCATAACAAATTTAATTGAACTAAAGGAAAGATATGCTTTAACTAATGAAACAATTGCTGATTGCGTTTCGCTTAAAATAATAAAGTACACTTCCGACATCAAAACTTCAACTGCTAAGAAACAATATATAACACCAAATTTAAGGATGTTTGATAAAACTTAATTTACAAAATCACAAAAAAAAATAAAAATATTTACCCATTTGCTTAATAAGAATTATATAATAAATCTGAAATTTTATTTTTATCCGTAGAAAATATAATTTGATTTGAACACGAGAACGTTTTTCTAAACTTCAATTGAAAATTTTTGTACTTGACCAAAAGTAGGTTTGCTGTCCCTATTATATAGAGTCAATCAACAAAAATATCTAAATTATTTTTAAGAGAACAATTTTTATTTTATACGCTTTAAAACATTATAAATATAACATAAAATGGCAATAATAGTATTTAAAACTTAGCATACGAGTTATTAGGCGTAAAACGGGCTGTATTTTTCCTTTCATAGTCATTAGTATTATAGTAGATTATAAATATAAATGAATAAACTATTATGGTAACACAATGATAAAATTAAATTTTTATTTAACAAAATATAATTTTACCTCAATTAGTTTATTTAGATTTTAACAAAAAAAAAAAAAAAAAATATTCTACTTTCTAATAATTATATTAATTATAGTTAAGCCTGTACAGAAGTGTTTCTCATCAGCTGTGTCATGAGATAAGTCCAAGTGTGTAGTAAAGTATATTAAATTAAACAAAATATGAATTGGTAATTGGTATAATAAGGTTTATTATGTTATACCGTCTAAGACATAAGAATTAAATAATTCTCATTTAGTTGTTTCTTACTTATATAATTTTTACAGGTAAATATATTGAATAAGAGTCTTTTTTCACCTTTACTTGTTTACGGTGTGTGATTAGGTATGAAATATTTTAATGATGTGTCGCCGTAATACAAACATTGATAAACACTGCTGTACAGAATCATGCATTTTTGATTCGTTCACATGTTGCGTTCGCGTCAACTTGTCACTCTACAGTAGGCGATCGAAAATAGAATTACCGATGAAGTAACACTATTCGATTTCATCCGTGATGCTTAGCATGTCCCAGCGATAAACTGGCTTAATCCAAACATCTTTTTATGATCACGCCTCATGTTTATTACACCCGGCGTAATCGTAACAAATTAAAAAATTATGATTTTGGTATTAAGTTCTTCCGCTCTGTTGTTGGTTGATTTTGAGTTGAACATACTTATCAGATTGCTCACGTTGCCAATATTTTGGACATGGCCAAGTAAAGTTAACTTACCTTCCGTCGGTTTTTTCACCGTTGATTTCTACAAGAATTACGCATACGTAACATAACATTAGTACATCTAACATAAATAAAATATATACTAAACGAAAACTAAACACAAATCTAGATCTATTTGAATGGGACGTAAAAAATATAACGTTTCTAATACAAACATACTATCTTAACGTGATGTAATGGATTTTTAACGCGAAGTTGTTTAAAAAATGCACTTTGTCGATTATATTTAAAGCAGAACAAACGGAATACGATTGGTATGTACGGTAATCGGTTGGCGCAGATCGTTTTCGGTACGTGCGCACTAGATTAGACGTATTGATGGGTTAGACGTCGGTGGTCGTCAAGTTGACCGATTCCAACGCTTCGCTGAGCGACGGGATATGCGTTTGGTTTTTCCGAATCGGCTCGTCTTCCTTAACCTTATCCTCCTCGGGTAACGTAGCACGATCGTTATCGGGATTATCAGTTAATGTCTGAGAATAAACCAAACAAAAAGTCAATCGAAATCGATGATGCTAAATTAAAAACAAAATTTTTTAAAAAAAAAAAACACTAATTTACATGGAACGGAATATTACGCATGTTTTTCGCTCAATAAACTCGCGGCAACTGGGGTTGTTGAACGGTGTTACGGGAGGTAAGTTACATCTAGGTTCTCGTGGTGCGTTCGTGTACCCCGATCGGAAATTCACAACGAACCGAAAATTGTTAGTCTCGGTGTACGCTACTGGCAGTGTTGATGTACGTCTGGGACGATAACGCTATTGTGACTGACGTGACGCTGGACGTGATTGTCGCTAACGCGTCGGGTGGTCATCGCCCGGTTATGTTTCGCAGGCACGTTTCCCTGGCACCACAATGTTGAAAAATCCATATTTTTTGCGCCATTAATTGTACCACGATTTGTACCAATATGTTTCCAAGACAACGACTATAAATATCCATATGTTTCCAAGAAAACGACTGTAAATATTCTTTATTTTTATATATTAGTTCCACGGAATAGCCGAATATACAGTATCTACGTAAAAATGTTTTGAATTTAATATTGTGATATGATAAAACACAGTCGATGAAATGTAAAACTATTTACTTTGACCGTAGTATTTCTACAGTATAACCATTAACTAACCCGAGAACCTATAAAAAAAAAAAAAAATTGTACCGTACATGTGCCATAGTTACGACTATGATATTTAATATATCATACTATATAATTATTATATATACTATATACTATATTATAAAATAGTAGGTACTATTTTAATTGAACAACTTGGTAATAATGTGTTATCATTTAAATTTATTTTAATTATAGAACAATTCACAAATGTACACAATTAAATGCTAAAAACGATTTTGGAGGAATTGAAACATAAAACCTCTTATTTGAGTTTTTGGTATTATGACGGATATCCATTTAAATGTATTGTAATACAACATTTATATAATATTTATTGATTTCGGACGCCAGGGAAATGTTTCATTTTATAATTTATAGTCGTCGTCTTGGAAACTATGAATATTTATAGTCGTTGTGTTAGAAACAAATTGGTACAATTAATGGCACAACATTTTTTTGGATTTTTCAACATTGTGGTGCCAGGGATACGTACCTATGTTTTGCGGTTTTACTATGCGTCACGGAAATCGCGGATCGAAACGGGGTGCAAATACAATGTTGTACGGTTAAGGGTTGTACGGAAAAATGAGGTGTGATCTCAACGAAGTTGGTGTCAACGCGTTTTGCGTGCGAATCGAACAGCGGCAAGTCTACGGTTACACTACGAGCGATTACTTGTTTTGAAACCGTCGAAACTGCAACGTGCCGACGGTACGTGCGCGACGCAGTTTTCAACGGTGTAAAGTACAAACTATTATCATTGTGCAACTCACGTCGTCGATGGTGTTGAACTCGTCGACCAGACGTCTGACGATCCCGGGATCGGGTCCGATCGCTTCGGGTTCCGTTTTCGCCGCGCTCGACTTCCAGTTGTCAATGACCAGTTCCAACTTCAACGGCTTCCTGACCACCCTGTCCTTGTCGTTCTTCACCGTGATCGTCTCGTCGAACGTCACGTACCGCTTGCACGCGTCACTCGCGCCGTCGTCGTCGGCCACCGGGTCCGTCCTCGCCGCGAGCTCCGCCGGTTTCGTTTCGCTTCGAACGCGTCTCTTCAGTATGCTCTTTCCCTGCGAAACAATTGTCGGCGCGTTTCACTCCGAACCCAGGGATCGCGGGTAAAACGATTGCCAATAGCTACTCACCGCCACAGCGTTCTCCTGGTCGGCCTTCAGCATGCTAAAAGTTCTGCGACACCTTCTGACGACCGCGCGCGCAACTCCTGCACCGGGTACGCTTTCAACACGTACATCTCATCTCGCCACCGACACCGGAAACGTCTATAAACATCACAACACGTTTTCCGTAGAGACACCAGTGGGAAATTACCGAAGGAAATACACCATCTCGTGCAAAAGAACGGAACGGAACTTGATCGGTTCGTTCCGAAAGAGAGCCTCGCGTTATTCGTCGCCTTGGTTTATGCCGTAAGATTGACACGTATCCGTATAATACCAACCGTTACGATTATTATTTTTTTTACAATGTTATTTCGTTTAAAGTGCGTTCGAGTTCGTCTCGGATCTCCTGCAGCACATCCATAATAATATGACGCGCATTGTCATCTCATCAGCTACGATCAGCGCGCGCACATTATACAAAAGCGCCCAAAATAAACACTTTGACTTAATGGATTTATTGTAACCTCGCGCAAAACGACGAAACACAATATTATTTTAAAGTCTTCGACAATGGTCGCATGTGCGTTATACGTACGTTCGTGTTTCCCTCTGCTTTCGGGACTATATTTTATTCTCCTTACTGCGCTGCAGACAAAAACTTTCGGGATGTTTTTTTTAGTTCAGTCATGACTCTTGTTTATTCGCTCGGCTTCTACCGCGCCGATACAATGATACGAAATACTAGGCATGTAAAACGTAATCAATCAAGCGATACTTCACTACGGCGGTGTACATGTTTCTCAAAACCTATTATCATATTGCAACGCATATTTTATTCAGTTTGTCGTGTCTATTCAACTCCGTTGCGTAACACAACGTAAACTCTTAATTTCGTTGAAAGTATTCTCGTAGAGATTTGTAAAATTTGATTTGAGAAAACAGCGAAACGTTATTCTCCAATAAAACCGGGTTTTGATTTGATCGCCGTACGATGTACGCCAAAAACATATTAATCAATAATATTGACTGTCGGTCATTAAGAATCAAATACATTCATTTTAAGTGTATGCTTGATTATTATAAGTATACCGATTATGTTGAAAAAGACAAAGGTGAACGATTAGCGACTGAAGAGATATTCGTCATTCGTCAACGCATTCTAATAGTGTAATATTTTGTATTTGTTTTCTCTAGAATAATAATTATGTATATAAAAATGAACAACTTTAATCGATATGATATACTCGTCTAAAATTCTACATTCGTATTCAAGCGATACAGATGTATTAAACCGAACGTTTTTTTTTATCAGAAGAGGAGGCTTTAGTGCAAAGCCATCTGAATCACGAACGGAACGGGAACACAAATCATTTCTCGCAACGTCCACCGTGAATGTTTTATAGGCTGTCGAGTACGAACGATCAGGAGAAGGCAGTCGAATTTTCGGAAAAAGATTTTTTTTTTTTTTTATCATTTCCACAACCCCTTTTGAGTTCACCTTTTCCCTCGCGTATATTATAATAATATGTTGTACATTATCCGTTATTCGATCGCGGTTAGTGCTGCGTATGCGATACAAGTCTTGTTATATTAAACGGCAATGTACACACAGTGTATTATGTGTATTTCGGGCGAGTGTGTGTACAATATTATGCGAGATCGTGTTTGCAATCGGACCGTGAAAAACGACGTGCGCGCGCGGAAAAATGCGTTTGAGTTGTTTACGGCAAACACGCGCGCGGCCGACTCCATGGGAATAAAACGTCGTTCTATAGAACACACACACACACACACACTCGCTGCAGAAGCTGAGTAGTAAATATTTGCAGTGTCAAACGCAGAGAGGTAGTAATCCAATTTCGGTTACTTCTATACTGCTGTTGGTTCACGATTGACTAATTTTTGTGTGTTTCGTATGGAAAACGGTAATAAAATAAAGAGTAGAGTCGGACAGCGGATCGGGAAGAGGGTACGTGTGCGTGTGTGTGCGCGCGAGGGAGAGAGAGAGAGTCACTTGTGCTTCATTTCACGACGTGTATTCCCTTTCGGTTTCGATAATAAAATATGTTTTTTTACACGCGTTTTCCGTGTGTTTATCAATAAACAACGTTCTATACCGATTTATATTATGTTGTACTCGTGGACGACACCAATTACGGGTGTATTATATTATTTTTATCCTACGCAACTCAAACGTTTTCCCCGGAACTCTTTGATGTCGTTTTTCTTTTTTTTCTCCTTTGCTTGTGTTTCAATCGCGATTCGGTACACTAGTCTGGTAACTTTTTTTCGGTCGTGTTCGATGTACTCGGGAAAACTTTTTTCAACGGTGCAAAAAAGAAATACAATTTTCTTTACACGCATGTCGATCTGTATATATAAGTAGTTTTAGTAAATTATCAAGTGATAATTGAGCGTCTTAGTTTAAAAGCAAACCGAAGAGGAGAGCAACGTTGACGCTATGTTTTGAATGGTTGATCTGCACTAATTGCACGTTCTATGCTAGGGGTCGGCAACCCGCGGCCCACGAAGCAATTTTTTATGGCCTGTACAAAGGTGATTAATTTTTGTGTTTTATTTTTGTTCAATACATTTTTCATACAATTTTTAATACTATTTAATTCTTTTTTCTTTATAAACAAAATTGTTATCTAATTCAAAATTTTTGTCTAATCGGAGTCGAAAATAATGATGGCTGCACTACTCAGTCATAGGATAACTTAAATATACTTATATATATATATATATATATATATATTTAAAAATTAAAATTTTGAATATATTTAATCTATGTATTTAATACATATGTATCTAATATATTTAATCTATGGTCATAGTTACATTGCGTTTGTAGCAATTAGTATTACATCGTGATTATGCTCGTACGTGTGACTGTTTGCGTTTGTAATAGTTGCATTCTACAAGTAAATCCAAACATTATGGCGACTAAAAAAAAAAAAAAAATTGTTATAAACATCGTTTTTTTAATAATTCTTAAGTTGATTTATACTTTTTGGTCGAAAATAATGGTAAGCCATTATGTTTAATTTGTCAAAAAATTTAATTTGTTCCAGTAATATTCGTATTTTTTACACTCATATTTCTATGTAAAATAATCAAATATAATAGCAATACAATTATTAGTATATATCATATGTTAAAAAATTTTTTTAGTGTGGCCCTTGATAAACATTTGAAAAAAAAAATATGTCCCGCGTGGTTCAAAAGGTTGTCGACCCCTGTTCTATGCGACCGATATAACAGATGGAAAGTTAGGCGCAAAATGTTTTTTGGAGGATTGGCAACTATTCGATTTCTTTCATATTTTTTCCGATGCGAAGGAAATTATGGTAATCATTGTCCATTAAACCGGTTGGTATTACTTTCAATTAAAAAAATTATTTCGTTTTTACACAGCTTCTAACAGCTGTTTTAATTTATTAGTTTATAAATTCTAATTTTCGCGTTAGATATTCATTAGCAATAACGGGGAGGAAAAGACTATGTAATCAGACCCGACAGTTTTAGAATTATGTGATACGAGTCAATCCTTGAAAACGATTTCCATTTTTACATCCTGAAATGGTTTTGCATCAATTTGATAACGTTAAACTGTTCTTTTGGAAATGTTGTTCGCCCGTACGTAATATATTCGCGTACGTCGTCGATGTAAGGGAATAAAAATTCGATTTTTACAATAATATCTGTACTGTGCTGTGTTACAATATGCCTTCGGGTTGATTTAGTCGTATTATTTTCTCTGGCGAACTTCGCGTGGGAATGACGGAAACGAATCATTTTGATTATAACGCGGTATGAAATTTTACGGCTTCCTCGCGCTTCACTCCGCGTCGTAAAACCCGAATAAGAGGTTTGCAACAATAACAATAGTAATGCGTGCAATGACTTTAAGTGCTCGATGTAATGCAATATATGTTTTTGCACACGCGTTTATCGTTTGTATCCGCGGAGTATTCGAGATTAGCGATGCGCAGGCGTACGTCGTTTTCCGATAGCAATAAAACACGTAAACTTTTTAAGTCGAACGGTGACCGTTTGGTCCGAGAAAAAAAGCGCTTCGTGGACGCGCACATGTATGCAATGCAGTAACGACCAATAAAAATCGTCCGAGTTGATAACCTCCCCTCCGTGCGTGTGCAGTACAATAGTGTAATAGTCGGTGTCGCGATGAGAAAACGACATCGGGTTGGACAACAAAAAAAAAAAAAAAAACCGAAACGAAACACTTACGACGACGATGTACAATAATAATATATAATATATACTTGTAAACGTTAAAAAGCTTTATTGTACGTTTGACGGATAAGGTCCGAGAGGGTCGTAAACATCATCAGCGGCTGCCCGACGAGAAGAAAATATTAATCCGGTCGTAATAACGTATATGACATTATAATAACGCGCGTTAAAACCGATCGTTATCCGCGACAAAAAATATACATTTACACGCATATACGCATACGCATACGGTGGGATTATTAGTACTAAAATCGGAAGACCGTTTTAACGCGCGCACAATATTAGGCGTCGTCGTCCGGCCGACACCTCTCCGCAGAGCGGTGCGCGCACTAAAATCAAGACAATGTCGTCGCGTTAAATACCCGTAAAAACGGTGCTGAATTACCCCGTGATAATAACAGTATTAACATACGTCGTTTGTATAACACACGTGGCTGCTGCCAGGCCGAACTGTAGTTGACAACAATGTAGTTAGTACCTATTTACGCGCGCACCCGTCTTTTTTTTCGACTCAAAAGAAAACGACGTCGTATCGCTCGAGATTTATAGCTGAGAATAAGACGCGTAAACCTGCTAACACACACAGCAGTTATTGTACTGCTTTTATCGCATAAATCCGTTTTCGGGACAATGTCGTACCACGTGAAAACGTACTCGGCAAACACTCGCACACACAAACGCATATACCAGGGGTTATTCTAAGGGTTTTTATCAATTACGCATTTTGTTTAAATAAGCCTATCAAAATATAACTATGATCTCAAAATATCCTGTCAAATTATTGTTAAAAATTATAAAATGTATAGCCTTTATGTGAAGTAATTTAAAATGTAACCCATTTAAAATGTATAAAACGATTTACGTTCGCGTTGAAAGTATTTTTTTTAATAAATGTCCTTTTAACTTTATTCATAAATCATAATGTTATGTATAAAATAACACTAAACAACATTCAATTAAAAATCAATCACGCAAAAGTTTATTATCAAGTGTGCATGTAGCTTTTTCAAATACGCAAAATAAGCCCAACTGCGCTTTAGAATAAGCGTATATACTAAAAACACCTATTGGTTTGGGGCGAATCGGAAAAGTCGTCTGAGAAATAAAATCGAAAGAAATTATCAAACAGGTCGTTCACTACGATAATAAGATCATTGGTTGTATGATAACAATATACATTGGTCACAAGATCGTTGTAACTAATACAATTCTTTGTACATGGAAAATGTCTCGTCTAATTAAGTTAAAACAGTACAAACACCTTCTTGCTCTAACGTCTTTTAATTTTCTTTTCTTTTTTTTTAAAAAAAAAAAAAAAAAACCCACTTGATTATAATAATTTAATATTATTTCATCGGCCAAACGCTTGTCAAATATTGTCAACATTGTTTAATTAAAAAAAAAATAACGACTTTGGGTTTTCAAACGTTTCAAATATAAATATTTTCTTATAACCATAAGTCTACTTTTAATATTTTTACCAAAGCGTCAGTATGATTCAGTAAAATCAATATTGTCGGATGTATCCCGTACACTTGTAAAAGTTGTGTACATCGTTAATGAGTTCATTAATATATTCAAACGTCGACTTATTCCAAAACGTGGTCGACGTCGTAATAGGAAAATATTATTTATTACAGAAATCGTTTGGGGGGAGGAGGGGGGTGGGCAGTAAACCGGAACAGCGAAAAATTAAAAGAAAATGTACGAACGAACGAATGTGCAGCGAAAAACTGAGTTTGCCATCGACTTCGATGCGTTAGGAATTCGAACGAAATGATTTTCCCGAAACATGCGTTTCCCTTCCGTCGCCCAAAGACCGAATTTCGAGTTTCGACGCGGTCCGGCCGAAATAATTAGCGCAATAGACACCGCACTCGACACCTCTCACGGGCAGAACGTGCTGCGATGATAATTATCGTACGCGGTCCGACCGTCGGCTTTTGCGTGCACAATACGCACCCCCAATTGACCGTATTTGTTCTCGACGTCGGTGAACGCTGCGGCAACGGTATTGTACGCAGTGCGCAGAGCCGATGGTTTTGCATTCGGACGCGCATTCGGTTGACGAGGTTAGGTCGTTCGTTTTTCACTATCCTATCGCGGACACAACGCTCCGACTGATTGCCCGACCGACGTGTTTATTCATTCCGGTCGGCATACGGGTTGATTCCCGTGGTCCGCGCGAAACCAGTGTGAATATTTCATCCCCCCCACGCGCGAAACAGCTAGTGTCACGCGTGATCCGTCTAGTTTAAAACCGTTCCCGTGGACTGGAAAATAATTGGGACACCGTCTGCATCCGTGTATATCCATTTGCGCGGATTGACGGAAGTGACATATCGCGCTACCAGTGCAAGAGGGCCGTGTATCAAAAACATTAAAAATTGTTCGGGAGAGCATTTACTAATGTTCGATAATTTATAGTGATTTGTGATTTTCTTCTGCTGAACATCAATATGATTAACTAGACCGGAAATGTTCTTATAATATTGTCATCAACGTGTATAACCAAAAGGCCACGTTTCGGATTACGGTTTTATTGTTTTCAGCTACCTCTCGATCTGTCATAGCGCAATAAGTTTATTCGTATAACTGACGATTTAAAAATATAATTACATAGATTGCGCCACTCTAAAAAAAAAAAATACAAATTCAGAGATACCAAAAACGTAAATTTAAAATTTTTAGATATACGGCCCTCTTGCACTGATAGTGCGATATGCTTACGCATCACCAAGAGGAATGCTAAAAACAACAGTATCGAATTCGTGTATCGTTTCAGTGATCGTACTACATTATGGTTAATGATAATGTATTTTTCCACTTGGAGAACAAATTCTATTCATTACGTGAAATACTGTGTTTTGATGTGTGACGTACGACACGTATAAGCAAACGGTATTTAAATACCTAATTGACTCTACTATTGTTTGTACAATTGTTATGTTTGGTTAAATGTATTCTCAGAAGAAAAAAAAATTATGAAAAATGTATAAATCAACAATAATTGAAATGAACATAAATCAATTGTAATCAACTCGAGAAAATAAATTAAATTCATATTCTACCAGTTCGTAGGATGTAATAATGAATATCGTTTTTTTTTCTTTTTTTACTGTGTAATAAATGATTTCTAATAATAATACGTTTAATAATATTCTTCTTTTGTACATTTAGTCTAGAGTGCAAGAAAAAAACAAATTAATTTCTGTACCGTTGACGGGCGATCGGCTTTTTTATAATGCAACTGTTACCTCGGTCCCTGGAGTAAATAGAAAAAAAAAATAGTTCGAATAATTAAAAATAAAACTGATCAAATATCAAAACGTGAAGATGTGAAGATCAATTAAAACCGAAAATGTGTTTGTTACATAACAAAACTAGAAAAACACATGTAGGATAACATAGCTGTGGTTCATGGTCGATATTCACTTGACTAATATACTGCACAGTTAACAATGCGTGTACGAAGTGTAAGAAAACCAAAATAAACATACAAAAAACATCGCTTCGTTGCAACAATAATGTAAGACGCGTAAAATGAAATGTTGAAAGAGAAATATTATTTCGAGGAGTCGAAAAAAGAAAAAGAAAAACATCCCTTTATCGGCTCGAGTAACACATAAAGTAAACTGCGAATAAAAATGTATTTCTGTTCACGGTAATATAGTCCTGTCCGTACGCATATGTAAAAAATAAAAAAAAACCATTACTGACATGGTGTAAAAAATGTACGACGAATAATAAATAATAATTACCTCGGTGCGTTCAATGTAATGTAGCTGAAGCTCGAACGACGAGACCGCGCACTATGTTTGAAAACGATTGCTTTGCATCCTCCGGTACCAAAAACTGCAACAGATGCAATCGTTTACGAACGCGTTAACCGTTGCTCGTTTTCGTCGTCTTACTTGCGGGTAACAAATACGTCCAAAGCAGACGGTTGAATCAACGCATTTGCACGACGAATCTGCTTATCGTACGTAAGGACGCAGGATATATACGATCGAACGGCCGTTTGTCACGTTCCAAATTAGGATTGGATTACTTGTACGCAAGCGGTTACGGTTAACAGCTCAACACGTATAATATTACGGTTACTGTATTACCGTACATGAGCTGCGCCGGTGTACTACGCGTATTCTTACGGAAACCAAAGCGAACTATTTCGTTTTCGAAATATATTATCTTATGCCGTTGAAAACGAACCTTGACTAGAGTGTGGACGGAAAGAGAAAAAATCTGCATTGCATTTCAATAGAACCACGAGAGTGCGGATCGCGTACAAACAACGTCGATGAGACGTCATGAGGAGTGGTGAGTGGGGAAGTTTCGCACGTGACAATGGTCCATTACCATACAACAACTTCGAAGTAATTGGCATTCATCGTGTTTGTCACGAGTAGTATCTTTTTGTTTTCAATTCGTATTATTTTTTTTTTTTTTTTTGCCTCTTATTTACTGATTTTCGCAAAACGTCGTTCAGCGGACGCGCATACGGAAAAACAATACTTTCTGTGGTCGAACATTTTAAAACCGATAATTACGTTATTCCCAAATATAAGTACTTACGTGAACCTTATGTTACAATAGCCATAACACGTTGCACCTACTTAACAGTCGGCAAACATTTTATTTTTACATCGTGTAGGTACAGTCTGAATAACTGTTAACGTGTTCAGGTTTATCGCTTTCTTAAAAATTCAGGAAACGAATATTTCCATCGACACATTTGCGCTACTTAAAATATAAATATGCATTACACTTTTCTATAAGCGCCCGAGCAGAATGATTTTTGAGTTTTCTTGTTATAACACTTACGACGGATTTCCTTTACGCACTTTCGTTCGCCAGATATTTAATTTTATTTGCACTTTGGTTTTTTACGCTTCCACAAATAACGTTTCCATTGTGTTTGCATGAGAAATATTAAATATCCTCCGACGGGGTCGTAACTTTTTACTGACCTTGGTTTTTTTATTTTCTTTATGAAAAAGCTTTGTTGTTATTTTATAACTCTTATTTTTTCATACCGCTCGAATAATCGTCTTGCCTATAAATTACAAATTTTAATAAAAATCTTTGCGAGAAATCGTGTACGGGCTGTAGGTATACCAGATGATAACCTTTACAATAAACTTTAAAGTTTAAGGTTTTAAGCTACTATTTATGATTCTACAAGTAGCTGCAATGTACGGTGGGTCACTCGGGGGGAATAATATTAACCGTAATTCCAATTTTCAATGGTACGAACTTTTGATTTTAAATAGTTTTTGTACACATTATCACCATAATCTTGCATCGGGTTTCCGTTTGATTGCCCCATTTAAATACCCCTTTTGCTGTGCGATCGTGCTGCGAGTACACAAACTGGTGAACACAAGCGGACTTAATATTTTATCTCCGTGGGGGATATTAGTACTACACAATTATCAAATATAATGTACAGTAACGCCCTATACTCTTTCAATTTCATTAAATTGTTTTTATAAATATTTCCAACATCTTTTACCCATATGTTAGTATTTCTGTTATGTATGGTTTTCATACACTGAAAGATCTTTATTTTGTTAATAATATATTTTCAGCATTGAATTGCGAGTTGTTGAATTATAAGTTCCGATTATTATGGATACAGTACTGATTAGATTTATTATAGCATAAATTAGCAAATTATGTTAAAAATATATTATGCTACAGAATTAATGATTATTAAGGCATGGAATTAAACACTTTAAAACTTACTAGTGTTTGCGCATACCATTTGTACATAATTAAATAAGACAAAATAATTTTTATATTTTATAATACTTAACTTGGGATATGTAGTGATAAAATTAATATTTATGTGTATATTATATACATACAAGTAATGTGTAAACGCATCTTATTGGTAATCATATACCGCCGACCGTGTCGTGGTAATATTAAAGTAGCCAAATTAAGCTAATGAGTATTATGTACAGATTATTTCGGTCGGTTTGGTATACACGCATACCATCTCATGAAGTTCGTCGAGAGGATATTATATAATTTGACGCGTCATATGAATGTAAACTTACACGAATGTACTTACCATAGTAATATGATTAAGTCGATTTCGATTGCTTTCGCATTAAGTAAGCCCCTCGATAATGATACGCAATGCATTGTATTATAAACATGCAACACACGCGTACGCTTACGAATATAATGTTGTTATTAGTGCATGCGATGCACCAGTTTTTTTTTTTTATTATTATTATTAGTAATACTATTCCGTCTCATTAATCAATAATAAATCGGTTCCGGACTTTTCGTACAGAATGTCGCTCAGCAATCCGATGACACTCGATCAACGGCTACAAATCGAACTCATGTACACTACTTACAGTCCGCAGTTCCGCATACTAACGTCCATCGGAACAGCAGTATAATATCTAAGGGGATAGGTGCAGTGGTTCTCAAACTTTTTTATTAGCAGAGTCTTGAACATATCAAAAAAATATCCATGGATCGCCCTCTCACCTTCAACCAAGAGTGCCGATATTAAACGAAAGATCAAAATCATTACATCGATCATTTGATTTTTATTTTGTTTCATAATGTATCCGGTTCACGGTGTACATCAAATTATAATATTCGAAAAAACCTTAAAATTAAAACTCTTAATCAGCTAGCGAAAAATCGCCAAAGAGCCCAAGATCACTTAAGTCAACTGATAAAACTCGTTCTTCTATCACTATATTCAATAATCCTTACAGACGGCTAAAAAGATGCCTACTTCAGTTGACAAAATCAACTGGCCGGGTGGCACAATTGAGAGAGGCCTACCCATTTACCATTTGTTTTGTTGTAATTCGCTAGTGTACTGTCAAAATTAATTATCGTATAAATTAAACTCTTCTAGACTCCAATTATATTTTCAATAAAAACCTCGCCGCAAAGCCCTTAGGATATTCGCAGTTTGAGTACCGCTTTCGGATTCGAATCGTCCCACGTTTTCCCGTCCCACCAACGGTTCATGTCACACAACGTAATGACAGTAGGTATACATGGTAAGTGGTCGTCGCGAACAATCACGACCTCGTACTCGCAGCGACGATTTATGTTGCGCGACGCGTGCGCACGGCTTAATCGTGCGGACACTAATGAGCCGCCGCGGCCGCCGTTCGAGTGGGCAAGTCCGACGTGTACGCAGGAGTCAGCGGTCGCGCGTGCGGTCCTGCCGTCGACCGAGTAGTGTACGGGGAGCGAAAATAATATAAAGTAATAACGTATACAATAATAACATATTACGGGCGATGGGACACGCGATGGGGTCCCGGGCGATGGAGTGCGCGAGTCGGGCGGCTGGTCCGCGGCACTCGAAGACAATGTTGTGCGGACGTTATTATGTTCGCGACGCATTATTATCGCAAAGGTTCTCGGCGCGCGAATAATAATAGTTATAATGACGCGAAAGCGAGCCACTAGAAAACGTCAAAAATCTATTCTCCCGCACGCGTCCGCGTGCTCGCCCGTCGAGTGCGTGTGATTTCATTTTTTAATTTTATTATTGTTATTGTTGTTTTCCGAACATATTTTTCGATTGTCGCCGGTGCCACGGGTACCACCGGCGGCTCTCGTCCGCGTCTCGCCCGGCGGTGCTTTTGTGGAGCGATGCGCGTTCGCGGTAGAACGTTTGAACAACGCCGCGGCGGCACTTGACGTCGCGCACAAAGTCGACCCGAAGTCCGAACGGACGTGCGAGCGGAGAACGAGCGAAACGTACTTTTACATTGTCGCGCGTGCAACGGGCGTTATGTGTGCCCCGCGGACGGACGCAGTTGCGAAAACAATAGATTACGTTCGATCGAAACAGACGGCACGAGGTCGAAACGGAATCATAAGGTAATACCCCGTATTGTCATATGTACACTACAGTGTCGAACGCGTAAAACGTACACAACGGATACGATTGATCCAGTGAACATACCATGGTTTACCATCCGTCCAAGTGCATTACAATTAGGGCTCGGATTTCAACGCGTTCGCATATATTTTTGGGACGTCTTACGCGATGCTTTCCAAGCTACACATTTGTTTCAAGCACTCCGTGTTCTACCCAGAAACATTTTTTGACGTTTTTAATGCATTTTTATTTTATATTTTAGGACATTTTTGACCTATTTCTCGTATTATGATTAACTTCGGTTGATGTTGAGTGGTCATTTTCAGTATATAAAAACTTATTGGCAGACAACCGTCGATCATTCGAATTCCAAAACTTAAAATTAATACTAATCCTACAGTGCAATTCAAATATGTAATTTAATTTTTAATTAATTCAATTTTTGATTTTAATTTTATTTTTATTTCTTGTAGTGTAGTGAAAATAAAATTTCATTTTTTACTCATTTTTTAATAATAATTTAAATTTATTTAATAATAGATGCATTTCTTGATATTTTTAGAGTATTTAGGTCATATATGCAATTTTTGAAAAGCCATTTTTTTGGTATTTATGGGGCATTTAAATCCGAGCCCTAATTATAATGATAGTATCGCGGTTACGTACGGAAGGTATCAGACACCGGTGTAAAAATGTGTTCTCAAAGAGTACGAGGAGTACTAAACGAAACTTAGACGGTGACAAACGAAACCCCTATGAAATATACCAAGCACTGTTATAAAATCGAAAATTACAGTGACCAAGATAGATATTTTCGATTTAGCGAACGTTTCACTTATTCGTCGTCATCACAATAATATACTAGTGGGCGATGTGTTTATTTTATTATTATCATAGCCGTATTTCGAAGATAAAATCGTATTGTATGTATTACAAGCCGACACGTGCCCACTTCGCCGGGCGTCAAACATTTTTACTTGCGATGATTATTTTGTTCGATTTTTAGTACTGAGTGTTAAGGATTTATTTTATCCCTTTTATATTGTATAAAGCTGACTCGGCAAAGCTTTTCTATCGCTATATTTTTCATAGGCTTATTCGACCCGGTGAACATCAACTACAATTTATCCTTCTTTTATAGCTATACCGCGTAAAAATCGTTGTAAGGGTTCTATTTTTTAATTATTTTTTTTTTTTTAAATTTGGACATATTTTTTTTTTGTAATTTGTGTAATTGTATAATAGTCGAGCTATCATAGTGTTACCGACTAAAAGCTAATTAAAAAAAAAAAAAAAAATGTTTAGGTACCTATCAAGAATGTGAAATTTGTATAGTTCTAGGTATAAATATAAGAATGGATCTAAAACTATTTTATTTTGGAACCTAAAAGAACTTTTATTATTTAAAAATGTCGGTTC